GCAAGAGCCCACCAGCTGGATATTTTTGAAGATATTTTCGACCTATTTTGGTCAAATTTTATAAATACTAGGTCATATCTCTGTTTTGAAGGTTGAAAATTTTCCAAAGAGTTATACACTCACTTGAGAGCTCCTTCTTGCCAAGCCATCTTTGAGCAAGCCTATCACCCTTGAACTATATCCATACACCATACACACCCTTAAACCTTAACCTTGAAGCATTGGTTGAGCCTTGAGGATCATAATTGAACCTTGAGAGTGTGCTAGGATTGAGTTTGATTTGCAAACAAAGCTTGTTCTCTTCAAGAGGTATAAGCTTGTCACCTTTGTTTTGCTTTCATTTCAATCTATCTTTGTCTATTTCTTGTGTTCTTGTGCTGTTTTGGATCCATTTTAAGTGTTGAAACGTGGGTTTGAATAGCTACCGAAGGTAGAAAGGATTAACACCCTTCCTTGCACCTTACTTCATAGCTCACACCCTTGTTTTTACACTCTTTTCTTTGACTTTTAAACTATTTTTTTCAGAGTTTAAAAAGAGCTAAAAAACATGGTTTGAAGTCTCAAAAGTGGAGGGGTTAGCCACTTCTTCTTGTTTTGTTTACTAGTTTAGTGTCTTCTTACTTTTACTTATCTTTTTGTTCTCCTTAAGACACTTTTACTACCTTTTTTTTTTGTTCTTTAGGGGCTGTTTAGGCTTGTTTTATTTCATTTAATTAGTTTATACTTTCAATTCTTTGCTCGTTGTATTGTACGTCCTCATGGCTTCGGTTGTTTAGGCTTTAAACGTCAAGTCATTCGAGTTGATAGCCTTCTTTATCTTATGATTAAATAATCAATCTTACATAATCATTTCTGCATTGTCCCTCCTTTCTTCTTTTCTTTTGTTTGAGAGCCATTTCAAACGATTGATTGTTATTCAAGGCATGACAAAGAGATCTAGGTTCAATGACTTAATTTCTACGGAGGTTCATTGCCAAGGCGTAATCTCTCTTTCATGCTATGGATCACTTCTCATTTGACATCAATGTTTTCCATTTTGTTTGAATTGAAAGAGTTGCCAATGGCCAAGAATTGAGAATATGGAGGGCACATCTCTCCCTTGAACTTGACATTAATAATGACTGGTGATGCATGCAACTTAATTTGTTCATTCTTTGCATTTATAGCAAGTTTACTTGCCCTTATTTTTTGTTGGGCCTAAACAAGGGTACTTGTGTAGCTTGAAAATCTTTGAAAGGCGCATGTAAGCATCGGTTGTTATAAGAGATGGCCCATTGTATGTTAGTTGACCTTCTCTTCTTTTTCTATTGCCCTCAGAAGTTATGATTCTCATATTTATACCACTAGCTTTGCTATTGAGGCTCGTCTTTCCCAAATTTCTTACACATTTGTATTTCCGAAATAATTATTTTGGATATTTGGGCTTGTGCAATGTCTTCAGTTTAGATTCTTTAGCCACGTAATGCCCTACATGTTTTGGTTGAGATTTCTCTAGTTTATTACCAGTCTTCTTATGCTTTTAGAACTCAGTTAGAGTGGTTACTGTTGGACTGGTAGAACTGTAGTGGTTTCATGAAATATTTGGTTTTTGATGAGTAAAACTTACTCTTTACGCCTATAAGAGAGATAAAGCGTCATTTTTATTAGAGGTGCAATATTTCTTTGAATTTCTTGTATTAGGTTTTTTAGTTGTTTTGTTCATTTTATTTTGTTTCTAAAAATGAATTGAAGAATGTTTACTGTATATGCAGGTTATACAGTACATTCAGTTTCTACAAGAGAAGTTAACCCTATTTGATGGAACTTAAGACTTGGTTTAGTTTTGGTTTTGGTTTTGATTAGAATTAATTAAAAACGTGAAATTTCTAACTGTTCACTTATACAATAATCAAATTATCTAAATTATTAATTGAAATAAAATTTTAGCATTATTAATAAAATGATTTATTTGTTATGAAATTAAAAATTTTAGAGGGCATAATATAATTTTTAAAACTATATAAGATAATTTGTAATTTAAATAAATCTCAAGATATGTATTTGTGACTTACCCAATTTATTTTATTTATTTTTTTCAATCGAAAAGAAATAGAAAAATAAAAATCACACAAACTCGAATCAAACTTGCTAAAGTGATCCCTTATTATTATTTTTCGGACAAATAATTTAATCCTTAGTGTTTTTATTTATGGGTCGGTTATTCTTTTTATTTAGAAATAATCATATAATTTTTTTATAGTTTGTGAATTGAAATGTAACTATAAACATTCTGTTAAACCTAACAAAAATGAAATACGTGTTGAATATAAAGTAATTTATATGTTAATTCTTAAATTTTAAAAATGTAAATTGCACATTAAATAAAATACAAGGGAGCTACATGGAATTTTGAGAAGAAAAAATAGACTATATCTTGACAATTTTAGGGGAGAAAAAAAAAAAAAAGAAAGAAAATTAGAAGGAAAAAAGAAAATGAAAAAAAAGAAGAAAATTCAACAACTGATGGGACCAGCAGTGAGGAGTGCAGGTTATGGAGCGTCACTGAGCTTGCGCATAATAGCATGGGCCACTAAGTAATTAATGTTAGTTTAGGAAGTTGTTTGCCAACTAGTGTATTATTTAATTCTGTTTCCCAGACCCCCCCTCTCGGAGAAGAAAAAAGTTAGGGCATTTGTCGCCGGAGCTCCCATCGCCGGTCTCTCCCCTCCGACAACCACCAATCACCACCGTCGTCGTCGTCTCTCTCTTCATACAAGTTACCCTCTCAATCTCTCTCTCTCTCTCTCTCTCTCTCTATGTATATATATAA